TTCCCCATTTCTGCCAAGTTGTGTGAGCGGCCCGTGGCGCAGTGGCATGGCCCCTTTCTGAGGAAAGGTTTGGTGTACATCTGTCGCTTCCTTGGTGCTCCCCCACCAGGTGGACAGGCATGCGCCTCGGCACGGCATGGTTGGATTTCGTTCCCAAATGTGCCCCCTAGGGGGCGCAGCGTGGAGTTCCCTAGAAGGGGAACATCTCGGGTTACGCATGTAACCATGGTTCCCCGAGAGGGAACGAGATGCTGCGTCCCCTCGCCATGCCTTCGGCCTCAGACAGCTAAGTGGATGACATATTCAGCAGGTGCCCTTTTATGCTTCCGGTCACCCCACCTATGACATCATATTCAACCCTCTACGAACACCTTGGCAATTGAATCACCATTGGCTAGTAAATTTTTTTGTTTACTCGCCAGACTGCTATTTGGGAAAACAAACAAAAATACTGATAAGATAATAATTATACGAATTCTACTAATAAGAACAATATAAAACGAACTAAGAATTAATTCATGAATATTAATCAGGATGTGTGCGTTTGCTCGAACTGATTCACTGAAATCAAAACAGGGACGATAATAGGTGAACGCCAGCCAATGAGATTGTCATTTGTGCATTAGCTCCACCCACTACCGGAGAACCCGGCAGTTCTTAAAAGCTGAAGAATTACAAAGGAATGCTGTTATTTTGACAGGAAAATATATCAAAGAATATCGTTTACATGTAGCTCGTCAATTCTCTCTCTCTCTCTCTGTCTCTCTCTCTCTCTGCGTGTGTGTGAGACAAAGCGACGGCGAGTCGTGTGCCTTCACACTAGAGCTTACTGTACGCCAAACACAGGTGTGCTGCGCATCCATTCAGATGAACTAAAAAGCACATTGATGGAGACATCGCTTGATGGAGAGTGAAACTCGGAAGCGCTCAGTGAGAGTGTTTGGCGAGTGAAAATATATCTGTGCTAAACTTATACTCAGCCTCCAACTCACACACTGGCGAGTAAAATCAGAGAACTTATTAGCCATTGGCTAATATTAGACATCATTTAGTCGCCCAGAGTGAAGATTTAGTCGCATATGCGAGTGATTTACTCGCAATGTAGAGGGTTGATATTGTGTTGATATATAAAGTTAAAAGATTGTTCCTGCTTTGAAGTACAAATAAACGGGAATCAAAAAGGAATATAACCACGATGAGTTTGTTGTGTCAGACTGGTTACTTTAAACGAATGGTACAATTGCAAACTTGGATCATTAGGAGTGCCATTATATATTCCTTTAACCTGCACTGAAAAATATATAATATGTAAAATATGTTTATGTTGCCACTTATGTTATAATATCACCTATTTACTATTACTACTGCTTATAATACAATAATATGTAAAGCCATTGCTTCCTGTGCAAAAAGGACTCTGATCATTTTCAAACCAACCTTGGCACAAGTATTCTTACAGTTAGAAGCACAATTTTTATGCCATTGTCGTTGGAGAAACCTTTTTTTTTTCTCGTACAGCTGTACATTTAGCTACAAAGTCATGAAGTATTCCTTCCAGATCACATTACACTGTGTTGTCCCATCTTTTTTCAGCACTCTCGCCCACCATTTCTCCATTTTTCCAATGAGATTTGAACTAGCTCTGCATTTATCGCTCTGGACACAGGCAGCATAGTCATGATAATTCTCATCCCATTTCATAATGTCTGCTATGCAATCTCTTCATCTGCCGCCAGTGGAAAGGGGGAAGCACATTATCTATGGCAGAGTATTATAAGAGATTATCCCTGACAGATCTTTTCCCTCGCAGGCACCATTAACCAGGCTTCGGCCCACTTGATATTTCTACCACCTGTGACCGTCATCCGCTGGGCACAAGAATTATTGCCATTGTATTTTTTCCCCGCTCTATAAATTAATCATGTAAGGAACTACTCTGAATCCGGTTGGACAGTGACCAAGAATCTCCCTCCCTCCTTCCCCGAAGATGCCAGAGACACCATGCATCATTAAAACGCGGCATGCCATTTGACACAGAGATAACTCTCACGTTTGCCCCAGTATGGTTTGATGCATATTATCGTGCCATAGACAGAAACAGGAAGCTTTTTCCGGACTTTGAAATGTGCGAGAGGACCGGATGGACGACAAAAAGCGAGTTGACCTCTCTCTGAAGTGAGCGGGGACTGCTGACGAGACTGACACATAAATTAGCATTGATCATTTTTGCTCAACATGCCACATTAATGACTTGAGCCTTACAGGGCTTGTTAGACATCCTGTGGAAATAGATTATAATGGTCTTACTAGCTGTCCCAGAAGTCCACCAACTCGATTGTTTTACAAATGGCACATGGTTCTCGGTACATCCAAGGACAACATTTTTAGAGTCATTAATGTTGTATTCCCCCAGGGACCTTTTTTTACATAAGGACGTGTATGCTGGTGGATATTCAACCATTTTTTCGTGTGTCTTAAAATAGGTGTCATTTATAAACTATATATAAACTTTTACGCTCTTTTTAAATTATGATACAGTAGAGCAGCATGTATATCAGTTATCTAATACAAGCGTATTAAACACACCTCAAAGGACGGCGGTGCAGGGAAGTAGGATTGAATGAATTGATCTGAAGAAGTACGAAAACAGGTAGCATGCAGGGAATCAAATGTGCAGGTCAAATTAAGTTCTTCCCCCATCGCGCAGCTATAGTTTCATCCTCTGTTTCGCATGCTCACCGGTTATAGATCACCCTCATGCATCTCATAAGGAAAGACATCAAACAAATATCCGGCTATTGACCTCTCCTCCCAGACTTGATTGAGACTCATAGCGGGCTGCAGGAGCAGAATGACAAACAAAGGAGGCAGGAGGTTAAAAAAATGGAAACCAAATCGATAGAGATGACTGAAATGACAAAGGACTTGAAGGTCAGAGCTCGTGGTCCCTTAGAGTAGATAATACAGGAACATAATCAATCTCGTCTAATTTAATCTCTCCCCCCATCTCAGACCTGATCTGCACTCATTTTTTTCCTTCCATGGTCAAGTCTTTTCATTTTCTGCCCAATGACTGAGCTGCTCTCTGATAGCAATGGTGGAAGTTAGTTGAATGGGTTAAAGAACAATACTGACACACAAAGACCATACTGGTGTTTCATATGTTGATTATTAAGAAATAAAATGTTGCTTTGAACGGATATTCAGTACAGTACTTCAAAATGGACCTGACACTTCTAAATAGTCTGACGCTTCTAAGCAATTTTGGTTCAAACAAATTTGATGCTTCTAAACAATTCCAATAGCTCATCACAACAGTGATAATTCAAAACAGATCTGATTCTTCCACAAATAGTGATGTTTCAAAAATATTGATGCTTTTAAGCAGTACTGATGATTTAAAATAAGTCTGAATAAACATTATTAATGTTTAAATATAGTGTTGATGCTTCAAAGCAATACAGCTTAATGCTTCAAAGAAATATTGACACTTTAAAGCGATTCTGATGGCTCAAAACAACAGTGATAATTCAAAATAGAACTGATGATTTAAAAAAAGATTATTCAAAACATTGACATTTTAAAGCAATTCTGATTATTCAAAACCATTCTGAATATACTGTATAATGATGCTTCAATACAGTGTTGCTAATTCAATGCATTACTGTTTCAAAACAGATCTGAGGCTTCAAAGCAATTCTGGTGTCTTAAATGTTGATTGTTTCACAATAATACTGATGCTTCAAAACAGTGTTGATGCTTTAAAGCAATTATAGTGGCTTCAAAACAACAGTGATAAATTAAAACAGATCTGATGCTACAAAAACAACTGATGTTGCAAACAGATTTGATGCCTCAAAACTACTGAAACGTCTAAATGATACTGACACTTGTAAAAAGTGCTGATGCTTCAAAACAATATTATTTCAAAAAGACTACTTCAAAGAAATACTGATATTCCAAACAAATGTGATGCTTTAAAACAATGCTGATTCTTTACAAAACAATGATGTTTCAAGTCAGAGTTGATGCTTTAAAACAGTTTTGATGCTTCAAAGCAATTCTGACTAAACCAGGGTTGGTATTGTTCACAGAAAATGAAGAATTGTCTGAATGTTACACATGTTATGTATCACGGTGACTTTCCAGGCTTATTCGAAATGTGATGTCCCTAGTGTTCCTATATCGCTCATAAACCACAAGCTGTTCTGCACTCAGAAATGTCAAGAATATTACGCCCATTTGCTAGACATTTGTTACAGTTTGACACTTAAACCACACATCCCACCAGGGCCCATATTTGTAAAAGCCAACGCGACGATCTTGACCCTCATAAATTAAAGTGTGTATTCGACAACTCTGATGTGCTTTAAAGAGTATTGAATTCCTGTAAGGTGGATGAACTGCACGCCGCTGTCTCGAAAAGAGGGAGGGCTGACGCTGTATGGCTTACTCCTCTATCATATTCACTGCCCTTTCAAAGTGTATCACCTCCCCTATCGAATCATAATCCTGTTCCTGAGATACGCCGTGCTGAAAATGAAATATGTTTGCAGGTTTGTAAATGTATCACACACATTTTTCCCAGTGTAAGTGTGTAGAACCAATACTTTTAGTACAATCCAAACATTGCCTTTGGCAGCTGAATATGTGTCGAGGTTTTGCTGCCGTAAGCCACTGAGGATTTTTTCATATCTCTCTTAGGCCCTCGCTCTTCCCAGGTCTGTCTATCTCTCTGTCTCCGATTCCCTCTACTCCTGAGAGATATATTGAGGGTAGGCTTGGTATCCAGACTGCAGTTGATCAGCTGTGAACAGGCCCATAGGCATAGGATCCTGTCTGTCCTTATTTAGATGAATGAATTATTAATATTTCACTGGTTTATCTGAAGTTACAGCTTCTCTTGCTTGTGTTGTTTTGTTCTAATCTTTTTTTTTTTGTCTTTCTCTCTTTCTCCCTCTCACCCTGTCCCTTGCACATTCCTCAGCTAACAAAGCTGACTTTACATAGGAAGAACACGACTTGCTCCTCTTGCAGTTGAATGGAAATAAAAGAGATTCTGTGACCTTGGAAGATGAAGATGTTGTTGCCATGGGAACTCTTAATCCTGCTGTCACTCAAGAGCTGCCTAGCAGGTACGATATCCCCTGATTTGCCTTTGATAGCGCACCTGTTCTGCATAGTCCCCACTTCAGCAGAGAGAGTGGCTTTTCATGCCTCTGTCTAATCATTCTCTCATTCCTCTAGAGACAGATGCATGCTGGGAACAAGCTCTTGTGGTTGCCCCAGCAGGACATTTGTCTTGACAGTTTTTTGATTTTTCTCTTCAGCAAGAACTTCACCCTACTTATTTTGGCACACTTTGCTTGTTCATAACAGACTAGCATTGGAAAATGTATTCATGTTTATGTAGCTTTGAAGAATGTTCTAAAGCAGTTTAGTTTTGATGTTATATTGGGCATTGAGCGGCAACCCAACATTATTTTTCAATCTTACAGAAGTCCGACATTTTTACATTTATTAAGTTAGTATTTTTTAACTTGTTTTACAGTATATAAATGTATTTAAGAAGAAACATTGCATAATAATTTTCACTTTCATAGGTTGCACTGTGAATTTAAATATATTTAGTCTTACTGCGCTGGCAGTTTTTTCTTCACTTTTTTTTTTTTTTTACATATTTATGCTTAAAACAAGTGAAAAAAATCTGCCAGTGCAGTAAGAAAAAAAGAAATATACTCTTATTAAAGATAGATTCTCTGAAAAAATATTATTATTATTATTATTATTATTATAAATAATCTTAACATTTTATGCAATGTTGCCTCTCAGGTAAATTTATCTTGTTTCAAGGATTTGAAAAATTAGACAAAATTCTTGTAAGGATTGTTTTTTTTGCTGTCTGTTTTCTTTTGAGTTGTTTTTGTATATTTATTATTATCATTACTATTATTATATTGAATAATTCATATATAAAATTAAATTAAATAGATATTATAAATATATTTTGTATTTTTAAAACTTGTTTATTTTGCTATGTACTGTATATTGCACCATTATATTTAGTTTCATTATATTAATTGCATTTTCCCCACATAATTAGAACAAACCTGTGACCCACCACTTTGAGTTATTATTATAAATAATCTTAACATTTTATGCAATGTTGCCTCTCAGGTAAATTTATCTTGTTTCAAGGATTTGAAAAATTAGACAAAATTCTTGTAAGGATTGGTTTTTTTGCTGTCTGTTTTCTTTTGAGTTGTTTTTGTATATTTATTATTATCATTACTATTATGATATTGAATAATTCATATATAAAATTAAATTAAATAGATATTATAAGTATATTTTGTATTTTTAAAACTTGTTTATTTTGCTATGTACTGTATATTGCACCATTATATTTAGTTTCATTATATTAATTGCATTTTCCCCACATAATTAGAACAAACCTGTGACCCACCACTTTGAGTTGAAGTCTATTAATATTGAAAGAGTTATTGATATTACGTACAGCTACTTATAGAAATGCACTAAAACTCTCCATGTGCATAATCAGACCCTGTCAGCAGTGAAGTGTTTCAAAAGTCTTTTAAAGTTTCCATTAAAAAGTGCATATTATTTCTCCAATGATTCATGCAACTCTCAGCACATACTGCAGCGCTGTAAGGAAGAGGCCGTCTGAAGAGGCAGGTGCCCTATTTAAACGAACCAATGTCCCCCACTCAGTGCCGGTGCTCCAGTTATTGCCGTTGTTGTGTTACAGTAACTGTGCCAACTCAAATGGGCATTTGCATTCAAGCCACAGGTGCTCTTTTGATTGCACAGCTTGATATTCAGAAAGCTTAGCTGGAGAGAAGGAAGTGCAGAGGCCAGACAGCCTCAGATGGAAGGGCAGCAGCTATTCAGCGAGGAGGACCTGAGGAGACCAAACCCACATATCTAACAGCCTGCCATATCGTAGCTTTGAAGGCAGACTAAGATTTTTGTCTTTTTTATTTTCAGTCACAGTGCTGATGAAACACTGACAAGCTGTGCGGTAATTAACTGCAGTAAATTTCCTGTCAGTGTAGAAGTTGATTAGATCTCTTGAAGATAATTGGTAGTAGCGTCAAATAAATAAATTTCATGTAGCCTACACATATTCAGAAATCATTCTCATTTAAGAAAATAGGTTATACTGAGGGAAAGCATAATAGTGATCTACCAAAAGTGAAATGGTTATTTAACATTCAGATACTGAAAATGAATGTAGTTAATATTTAAACAATGAATGAATCTATAAGGATGTGGTTATAATAATAAGCATAGGAAGTTATTAAACTAGGTTGGCTGCCCTCATTTTAAAGAATCCCTGCTGGAAATTTGATTCATTGTAAGTGTAAGTAAATTATTAATAACATTACGATAACATTACGATTAGAAATAAAATGTACAAATTCATTTACGCAATAATTTCACAGTGGATTACACAGTGGAACAGTCATTCTTGTCAAACCAATTCACTTCAACTTGTGGCATTTATTACTATTATTAGTATTATAATTATGTAAATAAACCAAAATATATAATGTGCATTACTGCTCAAAGGTTTGAGGTTGGTGAGATTTTTTTGATGTTTTTGATCAAAAACACAGTAAAAAAGTAATTTTGTGAAATATTTATACAATTTAAAACAATTCGGTTTTATTCATTGTTATATCAAAGCTGATTTTTCAGTTGTCATTAATGTCACATGATCTTTCAGAAATCCTTCTAATATGCTGATTTGATAACATTTCTTATTATTATCACAGTTGAAAATGATCATATTGAAAAAAAAAACAGCATTTGTTTGAATTTTTTTGTAACAACATAACATTGTTTTGTCTTTACTATCACTTTTGATAGTATCCTTGCTGAATAAAAAATATAAATAAATAATTTATTAAAAAAAAAAAAAGTCATACTGACCCCAAACTTTTGAACAGTTGTGCATATTAGGAGTGGGTACACATTCTAATTAACTGTAAACAAAAAAAAAACATAAAAATAATATTTATGAAGGAATTTTCCATATTGACTTTTTACAGGTGTTTTTGCTGTATTTAGAATTTTGCACTTCATTGCGTTGTGTTTTAGGGTTAATGGAAATGTCCGTAAAATTACTGGATAATGTCCTGGCAGAAAATTACCAGTACATTTTCCTTTTTTTTCATTTCCCCAGTGTGCTTGGAATGAACAGTCCCGCTAAAGAACTGTAGATGCTTCTTTGTATTTTATTCATCCCTGTTGTAAATTCCATAAATGGGTGGGAGCAAAATCATCCATGACAAAAAGTGATGGGGACATGTCCCCTTCGTAAATGACGGCTAAATGTGGACTACTGTAAGTGTGCTACTCCTCGCTCTAAATGCTTCATTAATTCCCATTGTTCAAAGGACACACAAAAGGGAAAGTGAAAAAAGGTAGCATCTCCCACAGCGTGAGGAGACAGGGGTTCACCCCAGGCAAACATACCCGGACACTTCCATTAGCTTGATGATGCGGGAGAGTAATTTTTTTTTTTGTCCTTGTCAAGGTTAGGGACCTGTAAAAATGAATTTCATTCACTCAGAGAGAACAGGGAAAAAATTACAGGTGAGTTTTATTGAGGGGGGAAAAAAGCACAATTCCTTTCTCTGTGGAGAAGCATACATGTTTCTGAGAGCTTGTTTATTCATTTAAGAAATGATACATTTCACTGGAGTAATTACCACAACATGGGGTAATTAGGGAGGTGGATTGGTGTCTTGGCAGCAGTCAACCGAAACAACAGACCTAGCCACACTGCCATGCGTGTTACGGGCCTGCCAAAAGAAGGACGTCATGTTGATACAGTTTCTGCTACAAGAGGGGAACTGAAAGCTGTTCCTCTGGCACGTGTTTACGTTGCAGATCTAATGAGCTCAGTGTGGGAAGCTGCTGAAAATAAACGAATAGTGCACATTAGACATAATGCGGACCTGATGTGTTCACACCTGTTTTATGATCTAGATTCATGTTCAAGACTCAAAAGTCTTCTTGTTTTTTCTTCTAGAGAGAATTATTCGACATGGCCCAGTGTTCACCCAAGAGCCCAGTGACAGTGTTTTCCCGTTAAGCGCAGAGGACAACAAGATATTCATTAACTGCAAAGCCAAGGGAAGTCCAGCACCACATTATAAGTACGACAGTTTTCCTAAATATCTTCTCAATACAAAAGTCTGAGACCATATGGAAAAAATACTTTTTGTTCTTTTTTGTTTATTTGTGTGTGTGTGTGTGTGTGTGTGTGTGTGTGTTTCTCTCTCTCATTTATGCCTGGAATTAAACAGAATTTCAAGACTTTGAAAACATTAACAACAACAAAAAATGGAATGAAATGTACAATTTGAACATCATATATTGAAGATTCTCCATTTGTTGCTAACTGACATTGACAGGTTTTATTTGCTCTTTAGAACAATATTAGATCACGTTTGAATAAATAAATTTATTTTTAACAAGAAATGATGACGATTATTACATTTTTCAGTTAAGCTTTTGACTCTGAAATGGTAAATACTAGTAAATTATAAAAATTAAAATTATAATTAAACATTTTGTCACTAGTGTCAGACTTTTGAACAGTGTTATTTTCATATATATTTTTTTTTTGTTATTTTATTTTTTTTTATATAGTTTTTATACATTTTTATATCAGTTTTAGTCATTTTAGTATTTCAGTAATTTTAATAACTTTGTATTTCAGTTATTTGCCAAGGGCAAGGCCACCAACTTTTAGTAGTCTTGGCAACTAATTTTATTTTTCTTTTAGTTTAGGTTTTTGTATTTTATTTAAATGAAATTTAAAATTGGCACATTTTTTAGTTAAAATTTTTTGAATGATAACATTGTTACAAATATGTTCCACAGAAAGTATTTATATATTTTTGATGCTTGCATATCTTCTTCTCATCATCATTATCCTGTGCCCATTCCACCTGTTTTCATATTTAGGTGGAAATTCAACAGGAAAGATCTTGATATTGGCATGGACTTCAACTACAGCCTTGTTGAGGGAAACCTTTTGATCAATGACCCTCAGGCAACTAAGCATGGCGGTGTTTACCAGTGTATCGCCACTAATGCATTTGGAACCATCCTGAGCCGAGAGGCTAAAGTGGAATTTGCATGTAAGTGCGTATTAAACCATATGTTTTGTATATGTGAACGTTTGAAAATAGCATCTCACAGTCTCCGCCACTCTTGATTACTAATACATTGACTACACTGTCTGTAATGTATATGTATCCTTTGGAAGCTTTAAATGCATAATATGTAAAAATGGCCACTGTGTTATCTTTCATATTTCATGTTGTCATTTGGTCTATTAGTGGGTAAGATATACTTTCTTTCCCTGGGTGTAGCAGGCTTTTAAACTGACAACTAAATTTTCCTATCTGATCAGGAGATGTCCAATGGTGCCTAACTAAAATGCAGCCTGTCATGGAAAATTGAAAAAAGGACTTAAATCAAGAGATAATCATAACACAGCAAGTCTGCCTCGTTCATATTGTGCGTACATCTAAAAAACACGTTGTTCATTTGAAATTTCACAAGTAGATGTGTCTTTTCAGGTCTTGAGTGATGCAGGAAATTGTTGTAGGACTAATTTGTGGTGCTTCACTGGCAAAATTGGCGTTTACAGAGTGGGAAAAAAGCATTTTCCCAATGATTTACCTTCTCACATAGCCATCAGTTCTGAAGTCTTGAAAAATACATTTTATTTCTTAACCTATAATGAGGAAAGTTTTTCATTATGTGTTTTTATTTCTTCTTCTTTTTCGTGTTAATGCATTTTGGAAACACTTTTATCCAAAGCAACTTATATTGCATGCAAAATATACAGGGAATTGAAGCCTTTTCCAAGAACTTTGTTCTTTGCTAATTTATAAAATATAGATCTGACAATATGCAATTAACATAGTTATCATGATAACCACATGTCTACAGAAATCATCACTTTAGTCTGCAAGTTAGAATGTCTAAGTGGCATTTTATACACCTAAGTATAAAAATCTTTTCTTTTCTTTTTTACCCCACTTGCAAATTCTTACCTCATTCAAAAAAATGAATGAGGTATTTTTTGTGGCGTGTGTTTTATTTGCGCAAAACACAACTTATTTCACACAGGCATACATTCATGAGGCTGGATAGCTGATATTTGAATAAACACCACAACTTTAGCCCAGTGTGGGATATCATTTTTGCCTGTCCCTTCCTGTGCTATAGAGTGGCATTTCTAAAGGTCCCTGCTCTGGGAGTCGTCTGTTGCACGTCAGAGCGATGACAGTGCCTTTAATGAAAAGTAACGGCGATCCTATTATTTTGTTTCCGCAGACCTGCAGAATTTCAGCAGCAAGGGCAGAAGTCCAGTATTAGTGAGAGAAGGACAGGCTGTTGTGCTCCTGTGCGGTCCGCCGCCCCACTTCGGAGGTACATTTTATTGTATTCTGTATGAATCTGAATGTTATTTATTATGTGCAGCTGGGTTTTTTTTTTGCATACAAATACACAAGCCGCTCTTCTTTAAAGTTATCACTACTCTTCCATTTTGCTTTGTATGAATAGAGCCTTTCATACAAAACAAGAGTGACAATTGTTCGCAAAACCCATTGACCTCTTTCCACGGCACATTATTATCAATTCAAGCTTTGTGTTTAGCCTGTAGAATAATGCTAAGCAAATCCAAGGTCAGGAATTGACTGCAAGGAGCAAACCTCTCTGCACTCTGCTCACTTAGTATGTATGGTACATGTTGGTTCAGATTGTATCTTAATCATCTCATATTGTGAGCAAATCAAGCTTTCAAATGACCGGAGCACAATGGCTCACTCTGGAGCTGGCGTTCTTGCATTCATGCACCAACCTCTTGGCATTTAGCCCTCCTCCTTCCTAATGGCACTTGTGCCCTTGTGGTCATTTGGAAAGGTTATTTTCTTAAGCATTGGCCTTCTGTTGAAAGGTAATAAAGGCATGTGGTGGCTGGTTTAAAGCGACGTGCCTCTTTATCCTCCGTTCCAGCTGTGCACCTCTTCTGTGTCTGTGTACAGCTGATTAGCAGCCCCTCAAAGAGCCACACACACATGCACCAGAGGTGCAATTTCACGCCACCGCACCACTGTTCTGTCATTCCACCACATTTCCAGTCAAATCAATGGTCTTAAGTGACCCACACCTTCCCCGCCACCACCCTCCATCTTCTATTTTCCTTCCCTTGTTCTCCCGCCACACCACTCTTGACTGTTTGCCACATTCCGTAATCCGAGGCTCTTTCATATGGATAATGCTTCTTGGGAATTTATACAATGGCTAGATACCGCAGCTCAGTCCTGGAAGTGGTTTTTATCAGGGGTGAAACTATGGAGGTCTATATACAGTGGTGTGAAAAAGTGTTGGCCCCCTTCCTGATTTCTTATTTTTTTGCATGTTTGTCACACTTTAATGTTTCAGATCATCAAACAAATTTAAATATTAGTCAAAGATAACACAATACATGGGGAGAGCTATCCATTAGCATTCCTGCTAATCTCAATGGCAGTTGCTTGGCTGGTGAAAAACCACCTGGAAGTGTACAATTTGAAATCAGACATTTTGCTTGTGGGAATTACCTTTTTTCCCCACCCTGGTGCAACAGTGAAATTGTAAAAAAATTCATTTTTTTATTTTCTCACAATTACATATATTATATTTAGTAAATATATAAATATGTAGTATATATATACACACATGGTCAGAATTGTTGGTACCCTTGGTAAATATGATCAAGGAAGGCTGTGAAAATAAATCTGCATTGTTAATCCTTTTGATCTTTTATTTTTCAGGGGAAATAATAATAATATTAAGGATTATTAATAATGCTTAATATTTTTGTGGAAACCACTTTTTTCAGGATTCTTTGATGAACAGGAAATTCAAAAGAACAGCAGTTATTTAAAATAGTAATATTTAAAAAAAAAAAAAAAAAATTCTTGACCCCTACATTTTAATTTGTCTGTGTATGTGTGTATATGTTACATTTCTTTTTTTTTTTTTTTTTTTTTTTTTTTGTTAAAGAGG